CGCAATGATCGTATAGTTTATCACATGAGGGGCGAGACGATGTACTGTTTAATAAACGAGTAGGAGTGTTTTATTAGGTTTAAAGCCACTGCACGTGACATATTATGGATGACATGATTTTCCAATAAGCTTATGAATTATTAATGAGTGTTGAAATCAGTTTTATCGCTTATACGGGACGATAATATTAACTTCAACAGGAATTATTAACTATACTAGAAAATACATGCATGCAGAAACCCTCGCCTTGCTGACAAAACCGTTGTATTTTCCGAACATGAAGTATCTAAAGTAGTTGTCATGGTAACACGATAATTTTTTAAGAATATTCTTACAAATGAAAATTGCCTAAAAATATCACTTTTAATTACAAAATTATCAATTTCCCAACATATATATGTTAGGTATGTAATTATACGTAATACAAGCTTCAATTTAAGGTAAAATTCAACCACAAACAATTCACAAAACGTTTTAAAGTGTTCTTTATAAAACTAAACTGCCTTTAACTATTAAATGGCTTTATCGATAAACTTTGAGTTTGCAATAAAATGATTTCAAATTCTCGTTTGCAAATAACTTTGCTTTATTTTTTATTTAAAAAATTCAATATAATAAAAAAGGGAATCAATATTAAAGATACACTGAAATTATATACTGTCTTGTTTAGTTGTTTCATATACGCAAAGGCCGTCGGGTTAAAAGCCATTATAAAATCAATATTTAAAACAAACTTACCTTCGTTAACGTCGGCTCCCTTCTTTTAGCTGATTCTTTCGCCCTTTCTTTCTTGAAATTTACAAAATCTTGCAGAAATACGAGCAAAAATGAAGAATATTTGCAAGAAATTTATCAATCATCAACTCATCAAATCAAGAAATGTTTGCTATTTTGCTGTCGTCATGCAGCCGTTATAATGCAAACTTTAAATTGGACCAATCAGTGTCCGTTATTCATGACAGTCCGCCATATTTTTGAGATCAGTGAGGATGACCACCCATCGTTGGTGACCGACGCCCGCGCTCATTGATGAACTTTAGACTTCGCTAATGCTTTCGTTTCCCCGGGTGTAAATAGCCGGGGGGAATTAGTACCCTCGCACGGCGCTTCGCGCCGCCGGCTCGGGAAAAATTAATTTTATATATGTGCCGACATTGTTTTTGCCCAGTAAGGTGATGGCACAAATAACGCCTAATAAGTCCCACAACCCTACACGTATAACTATCGTAGTTAGAAAAATAGAGATGCAGACATGGGGAGGAGGTGCATGGGCTGATAAAATGTTGAAATGGGTATAATGACTCGCCAAACAACGGAAGTAAATAAACGATTGTAAAAATATGACACCCTTCGTAATTGCCAAATGTACCATCTTCAAAAATATTTGCCTATAGCTACTCTGCTATGTTTTGTAATCGTCGGATTTCAGAGAAAAAATTGTTCGGATTTCGGATCTGGCGAATATTTTACACGTATTTGCGGATCTTATTAATACAGCGGATTGCGGATTTATCTAATATTTTGGCTCGGATCGTGGATTTAGCTTGCACTTTAGTTTGGATCCTGGATTGTGACTTCATAGTATATATAGAGCTTTTAGCGGATTCAAATTTAGACAAGACCATTGTCGGATCGCGGATTTTGCTTCAAATTTGGGCGGATCGGCGGATTTGTATACCCCTATTTACCCCCCTTCCCCCGCCCCCCATGTAGAAATAATGTGTATTGGCAAGTGTGATGGACTAGCTATTGCGCATGTATGGGCAAAATATTGTTTGATTAAAAAAATCCAACTTTGTTACCAAAGGAGAGATATACTCAACTATCTAAGGGATAACAATTTTTATTACATAAACATAAGTTTTATGTAGAGATTTTGGCCACTGAGAAAAATCGTATTTAAACACACGTAAAAAATACGATATTTTTACGTGTGAAAATATCATTTGTTGTAAAACGCATTGCCACCGACGTTTTATTGTTTTTTACTGAATTTTGTTTATGTAATAAACAGAAAAATACATGGGTGCTTGGAACTCGTGAGATATCATGTTCAACACTCGAAATAAATCTGGTATTTCCGCGCACCCATGTATTATTCTCTATATAAATTTATTAGCGGAGGATATATGAACGGCCATATCATCAGTATATATGATGGCAAATATTATCAAAATATTAAAATGTATAGCAAAGCATTTAGATTTTAGTAATGCAAAGTTTTATCATTGATTCTAATATCTGCAGCAAACAAAAATTTTAACAACGCTCCTATAAACTACGTCCCTCGACATGTTCACTCATTGAACAAATTACACTAGTAGCTATATTTTTCATATTTCTTACCTTATTATAGCCTGTTTCAGAAATATTTAAAACATATAAACTTAAAATAAATGTGGTAATCGGCCACAAAGCTTATTTTCATTGTAGTCGAAGAAATAGTGTTATGTTGAAAAGTAAAACGTGTAAATAGCCTACAATGCAAGGATTGTTATGTACACTTCCAACAGTATTCACATAAATTTCGCATAATATATTCAAACGCATTCCATCGAAGGTTCCCTGCTTGCAGAGGTCTCTATTTGTGCAGGAAAGCGAATTAAGGAGAAGAGACTGAGATCTGACCAGTGAACTCTAAAAATAACTGGAAGGCTAACTCCTATGATGAAAGTCTATGATTCGTTGAAGCCGGCGCGTGTGAAAATCAGCTTTCAAAAGAACTAAGGAGAGTTTCGAGGAGTGAAAAAAATTCTGCCAATAGTTTGTTTTCGAGCAAAAATTTGCAAGAAAAACACTTTTTCCATGGGAATACAACAATTATTGGGATTTAAACCAACTTTCCGATTAGTTCCAACTGTTTTACATCTCTCTGCAGCAAAAGTAAGGAGTTTTGCTTTTGTATTTTGAAAAAATGACGAAAGTTTGGACGTGCCGAAGGAAACCTCGCCGTTCAACTAAAAAATATATACTATAAAACATTTTGACAGTCCCGAAATTTATGTTGTACTAAACCCAGGTATTGTTATTGATCCTGAGCTTTTAGTCCTTGTTTTAGTCGCTTTTAAACATAAATAAATTGGCGTTTTTCGAGTGATGTTATTTTCGTCATCGGCATCTTGTTGGCCACTATGAGCATTTTGAATATGGCAATATTTTTGTCAATTTTCAAATGCTTTTTTTTCGACCTTAAAACGTTCAATCTTCTTGAAACTTCGCATACAGATGTATTGTGCATGGGTTTAAATAATTCCTGAGGTATGACGTCTTAGTTTTATCTTAAACTTCCAAAAACGCAGAAAAAGCAGCCTAAAACGCGCGGTTTTTCTGACTGTTCATGCTTATGGCCGTGTTTTTTGTATTTTTTTGCTAATTCGTGATTTGTTTGCTTTGCGAATATTAAATTAATTTATAATACTACTGATATAAATTAAATTTGGTAGTATAACTAATATTTTGGGGCAAGATTTTTTCTGATCGAAAAATGTGCATATTTTGAAAAAAAATTTTAAAAAGGACTGGGTCTACCTCAAAAAAAGCTTCAAGCACGGCTTCAACTCCCCCCCCCCCTGACTTAGCCTTCCAGTTATTATCAGAGTTCACTGGATCTGACACGTTTTCTGTCGCGCATGTGCAAAAATTGCCATGACAACGAGTTTCACTTAACCGTACGCAGTTTGAATGCAAACAAATGTATCTCGGTCGGATATAACAGAAAAGATTGCTTTCATTGGTTCTTCTGTCACTGCTTTCACAGTTTCATCTTCGAAAATATAAATTACATATTCACTTAGAGCACTTTCAAACAACACGAGAAACCTCGAAATGATCACGCTGGGCAAGCCGCTATTTTGACACTACGAGCTCAATGTTTTTACAACGTAAATCAGCTCTGAGCATGCGTACTATTTGTTTCCCTAAACCGTTTTCAGAACTTGCTTTACAAACTGGTTTGACTCGTCCATGATCATGGCCTGAGGAAGTGTCAGATCTAGGCATGCAGAGGCCTCTTCTCCTTCGATCGCTTTCCTACACAAATAGAGACCTCTGCCAGCAGATTACATCGAAGGCGGCCGCCATGTTGAATTCCAAATAAATGACGCACTGTCCCCGAGCCGGTCGTATAAGCCTGGGACGAGGGTGCTAATTCCGTACGGCTATTTACACCTGGGAAAAGGAAGCCAGGAAGGCATTAGCACTGTCTAAAGTTCAATAATAACATACAGTATTTATTTACAATATATGGTAACTTTCAGCCATATAGTCCTAACATATTCAAAAGTTATAAAACAAAATTAAAGAAATAAAAAGTTGATTTTTAAATAGCCGTTTATGTATAACTAAAACGTGATTTATTGTCATCAAAAACACGATTCGTTGTCCTCAATATTTCTTTTAAATTAAAGTTCAATTATATATAAGCTAAACAAGCATTCATATTATACGATACACTACAGTAGCTACTACTTTGTCTTTACAGTACAAAAACATCCGCAAAAATTTTAGTTAATGAAAAAATTGCAAATTAAAAACAACCGCAGGAAAAATCACGCTCCTTGTCAACTTTTGCGGAAAAGCACACACGTGGCAGTCCTTTTCTGCATTACATAGAGAATAATACATGGGTGCGCGGAAATACCAGATTTATTTCGAGTGTTGAACCAGATTCATTTCGAGTGTTGAAATTACAGTTAATCAAAACTTGCTTGACTGTAATTTCACCTACCATCACTTCAATTATCAATGCTTCACTGTTAACCTCTAGTTTTCCGAGCGTATGGAAAAACGCTGAAGTTGTTCCTATCCACAAGAGTGGTGATCATGAGATCGCAAATAATAATAGACCTATATCGTTATTGCCAGTGCTATCAAAAATCTGCGAACGAGCAGCTTATAATCAGTTTTCGACCTACCTTCTCTTGAATGATCGTTTATCGTCTAAACAAAGTGGAAACAAGCATCTACACTCAACAGAAACCTCGGTAATTCAGACTACAGACATGATCTTGAATGCCATTGACAAGAAACAGCTAACTGCGATTGTGTTACTCGACATGAGCAAAGGATTCGATAGCATAGATACCATGACTCTGCTTACCAAGTTAGAAGATGTTGGCGCGCCTTGTCAGGCGATACAATGGTTCCAAAGCTACCTAACATCCAGGTATCGAGTAGTAAGAATACAAACAACCTTATCCGAGCCTTTAGAGGTAAAGAGTGGAGTACCTCAGGGAAGTATACTTGGGCCACTTCTGTTTAGTATTTATGTGAACGATTTGCCATCAGTTCCACAACAATGCTCTCCCTATTCCTATGTCGATGACACAAAACTTTTAATGTCGTTTTCTCTGCAACACCAACAAAGAGCTATCTCAGAAATAAATCAAGATCTCTTGAGAATACGTAATTGGTGTTTTGATAACAAGTTACTGTTAAACCCAGAAAAAACTAAGGCCATGATATGCGGTAGCAGACAAATGAGAGCAAAACTTCCTAATTTTCGCCTCTCACTTCTCGGTAAAGAAATCATTCCTGTAACAAGCGCAAAAGATCTCGGCGTAATCTTGGACTCTGGTCTGACGTTCGACAGCCATGTACAAGCCACTATCTCCTCATGTATGTCTCGTTTAGGTCAAATAAACCGCGTGAAACATTGCTTTGACAAACACACATTAACAATTATTATTAACTCTCTAGTTTTTTCAAAATTATATTAGTGCTCTACAGTCTGGAGCAACACTTCTCAAACAAATTTAAATAAGGTACAGGTAGTGCAGAACTTTGCATGTCGAATAGTTAGTGGAGTTGGCAAATACGATCATGTCACACCAATCCTGCAAGAACTAAAGTGGCTTCCAGTTCGACAGTATTTATATTTTCGTGATGCAGTCAAGGCATTTAAATGCATGACAGGAAACGCACCTGCATACCTAACTGAACAGTTTGTGAGACGAGGTGACATTTCATCTCGCGTTACTAGGAACTCGAGCATGATTGAAACTCCTTTACACAGTGTGTGTGTGTGTGTGTATTGATGTGTGTGTGTGTGTGTGTGTGTTGTGTGTGTGTGTGTGTGTGTGTGTGTGTGTGTGTGTGTGTGTGTGTGTGTGTGTGTTGTGTGACTGTGTGTTGTAATGTGTGTGTCTCTATTATTATGGTGTATAAAAATTTAGATCAATTATGTAAAATTTCGCTGAAAAGCCTTTTAAGGGATGTGAAATTAAAATACAATAAATTGCAATAAATGATATCTCACGAGTGAGCGCAGCGAACGAGTGATATATCATGTTCAACACGAGAAATAAATCTGGTATTTAATCCAAGCACCCATGTATTTTTCTGTTTATTATATAAAGGACAGTCTCTGAAAAGCAATATTTTTTACACAAAAGCGATTAATTGAAAAGCGATAATTTTCACATGTGAGATTATCATGAATAATCTCACATGTGAGATTATCACTTTTATCAGTGCTCGAAATCTCTTCCAAAAACTCATTAATAATTCAGGAGCAAAACACAAAGAAAAATCATAAGCGTGTCGTGGTTTTATATGTGATAAAAAATCACGTTAATTTACATAAACTTTAGCTTTGATTTTATCGGTTTAGATTTTCTTTAGTTTATTTTAAAAATTACTTCGCCAATGAACTCGTATAAGATGAGTCGTTTTTGAAGCTATTTAAAGCACTTGTAGTCGTGTTTTATCACATATAAAACACTCCGCTACGCGTCGTGTTTTATATGTGATAAAACACTCCTACGCGTGCATGCTTTAAATAGTACATAAAGCACTATACTTTATGTAATAAAGTATGTTATTATAGGTTATATAATTTATACATATTATACAGCAAAATTAATAATTTCAGTGTAAATTTATTGATTTCCCTTTTTCTATTATATTAACATTTTTAAATAAAGAGGAAAGCAAAGTTATTCACAAGCGAGAATTTGAAATCATGTTATCTCAAACTCAAAGTTTATCGATAAAAGGCAGTTTGGAAAATTGATAATGTTGTAATTAAAAGTAATATTTTTATAAAATTTTTCAATTTTAAAAATTATATTCTCGTGTTAGTATTTACAACTACTTTAAATACTTCATGTTTGGAAAATATAATGGTACCGGTTTTGCCAGCAATGCGAGGGTTTCTGCATGCATATATTTTCTAGTTAATGAAATAAATGACGCAATTACTGAGTCGCTGAAAGCTATTATTAGTATTGTTGATTTCTTCGATAAAACAGTCAACACCTCGAGTCAGCCAACTTTGTTTTGACTATTTGACTACGACCGCACAGTGACAAAAATAGCGTGACAAAAGCGATATCAGTGTCAGAAAACCGATATCAGGCAGTACCATATCGTTTTGATGTCACCCTGTTATCACCCTGATAAAGGCACAAGTTTGTGATAATGACTATTTAAAGCACACGTAGGAGTGTTTTATCACATATTATATGTGATAAAATACGACTACAAGTGCTTTAAATTGCTTCAAAAACGACTCATCTTATACGAGTTCATTGGCGAAGTAATTTTTAAAATAAACTTTGTCTAAACCGAGAAAATCAAAGCTAAAGTTTATGTAAATTAACGTGATTTTTATCACATATAAAACCACGACACGCTTATGATTTTTCTTTGTGTTTTCCTCCTGAATTATTGAGTTTTTGAAGTACTATTTATAACATAGGTGACATAAATCAGTTTATAATATCGATTGCTCCTTGGGCATGTCCATCGAGCGATAAAAATGTAAACATGAGTTCCACCTTTTTAATTTACTGTATGAATAAATTGTTTTCAATAGAATAAATTCGCAACAAGTCGGCGAAATTATCAATACAACATGTTCGCAACTGCACATGAAACCATCAGCATGAGCTCCACCTTTGAATTGACTATACTGATGAGTGAATTGTTAAACACGTCCGAATTTATAAATATGATAAATTCGCGGACCTAACCCCTAACACTAACTCCTAACCCAACACTAACGCCAACCCCTTATGCTAACCCCTAACACAAATCTAACTTTTTTAAACTTTTTTTGAAAATCAACCTTTTTTCACTTTGTTTTACTTTTGTTAACTTTTTTTAACTTTGTTAAACTTTTTTTGAAGATTGCTCAATGAAATACATGCACTTTTTCATACAACCCCCACCAACTCAATTGTTGGTTTGATCTCTCTATTCTTTTGCAGCGAAATTTTACGAGAAAGAAGTGAACACAAACTGTAGTTGTTTGGATGCCTGTAACAGGATTATTTATGAAACAGATTTGTCTTACGCGTTATTCAATGACATTGCTAATACAACTTCCCTTCATAATCAATTCACTAGGGCGCATAATGCGTCAACATCTGAACGTCAATCATCATCTGTGGATGTTAAATGGAGAGATTATTTACGGTAAGTTATATAATTATACCGACCAAGTACATATAACGCCTAATCTTTTTTGAAAATCGTTATTACATGCATTTACCGTATAGCTATAATTGATTCATTACCACCAGCTAAATCCGGTTCACACTGGCGATTTTCTCTTTCTGACAGACGTGAGTGAGTGCTCTCGAAACGAAACGTTTTTCACATTTATAAGTTATTGCACTCATTTAGTTATATTCGTCAGGAGGAGAAAACATGCCGAAAAATTGCTAGTGTGAGCAGGACTTAAACCGTTAAATGTACGACCATAAATGGGCTGAGAATACAATAACGTCAAATGAATGCCTTTGTTTGAATGCCAATAATATTGATGGTAATTTTGACATTGTGATACAATGCACATTAGAAACGTGGCGATCGAAATTAGCAATGGTATCCCTGATCTTCTTAAATGTTTCCCTAATATAGCATGCATCGATTAGCTTCCGGTGCAAAAATAGTAAACCATCACTTACTAATATTTTTGTTTTCAATTTTTCGTAATTTTTATGTTAGAATACTTGTGTTAATTTCAGCGAAAACATTCTTCAACTTTCCATATATTTCAACGAGCTAAGTTATATTCGCACAGAAAGTGTTCCAGCATATTCTTGGGAAAGTTTCATGGGTAAGTAAATGCAATTATGCATGTAAACGCTCCTGCGCACGCGATGTGGTAAATGCCAAATGAATTTAAACTAAACACGTAAAGTTTCGAAGTAGTGTGTACTAAGTAAATATAAGTTCGACGTAGTTTGTTTCTTCACTTCCTGCAGAATTATTAAACGAGCTGGAGTATTTAAGTGCAGAGAGAGTAACAACTATAATCAGTTCAAGTTAACGCCAATACTGTTTAACGAACACCCTGCTGTTAACGGAATATGGCGCTTATTAATGTAATTGTAAGCAAATAAGATCTTTCGACATTCCGTTCCATTTCTATGCTGATTTATAATTATATTACCTATACCTATACCTATACACATACCTATATACATACTTTCAAGTATTCTTGAGGATGAAATTCAACACAGGAAAGTGCAAGGTGTTGACGGTTACAAGCAAACGAAAGCCGATTGAATTCCCATACCGTATGTATGGAAATGAGTTATCATCATGCAAAGCCGAAAAAAATCTTGGCCTTCTTGTATCTAGCGATCTGAAATGGGGCCCTCATATATTAGAGATGGTTGCAAAGGCAAACAAAATGCGTGGTCTTCTTAAAAGAACATGCTTTGAAATTACGAACACCCAAGTTAGGCGGACCTTGTATTTGCGTTGGTTAAAACTCAGCTCACGTACGGATGTGAAGTCTGGTGTCCCAGTAGCAGGCAGCTCTCAATAAAAATCGAAGGTGTCCAGAGGAGAGCAACAATGTGGATCCTAACGAAAAAACGTGGAGAACTTTCTTATGTGGAACGGTTAAAAAAACTCAATCTAGTCCCGCTTGTGTACGATAGAGAACAGAAAGATCTGATCTTTTATTATAAATGCAAGAACAATTTGATAGATCTTGATGTGGAACATTATGTTGAAACTACGACAAGCAGAACACGCGCAGGAACTTCTCAGCTTTTAAGATCACAAGCTTGTAGGACTAGCACATTCCAGGGTTCCTACTTTGTTAGGATTGTAAATCTGTGGAACTATGCATGTAAAACTGCTCCATCGAACAGCTTCGACACTCTCTCTTCCTTCAAAACATACCTCCACAAGACTTACCTCCAACTTACTGCCACTGCTTACACTCCTGACTTACCTAGCTCACACTCATTGATCACGACTGAATAATATCTTCTATATCAGTCGTTCTCTTCTCCTCTCTCTTAATTTCTTTACTTCTTCTCATGTACCTTTTTCATTCTATATTAATGTGTTGTTTTGTCTGTATTGTCCTGATTAATTAATGGTGAGCACCATGCATGGGACCTAGTCTCGTTTGTGCTTCTCCATCTTTGGCGCGTTTTTACATATTGTTGTTCTTGTGTTTGTTTGTGCTAGTTATGTACAATAATGTGTACCTGTTTGCATGCGTGCCAAACAAAACTGTTAAATTTAAAAAAAAAATACAGTGTATTGGTTCAACTTATTTGAACTACCCTTGTTGTTTTCATCTGAATATCAAATAACACCCTTTCCTTGAAGAAGCTATTTGCTCATGCAGCTGAATTAGAACCTGTTCATATGATCAAAGTTCATGTTACATTGCCAAGTTAGCAAACATTTTCATCAATGGTAGGTTGGCTTGGATAGAAGTAAATAGAACGCTTATGTAGACCTTCCTCAAAAATCGCAATCGGGGCCCGATCTATATAGTCTTGATACTCGTCAGAGATTGTAAAGTGCAGAACAAGTGGGATCAAATTAAATGCTCCGTCTCCCACAACCGGTATCCAGTCTTAATAGTTAATTCTGTGTTTGTGTCGAAATAGTTCTATATATAGATAAGTGATGACCGTGTTCATTATTCGTCATGTTGTACAGTATAAGCTAGGTACAAGACTATTTATGTATTATAGAAGCAAGACAATAGGTAATAATGCTTGAACTTTTCTTCATGCATTATAAATAAGGGGTATATCCGGTTTTCTCTGCCAAGGAGGAACTGGATAATATTTCAAATTTGAATGAATTACAGTTTCCCGTTTGTATCAGTCCTTTAGTGAATATAGTTATATATATTAATATTATTATTTGCCGATGCTTTCTATATCCTCTTCTTTCTATTAGCTACTAATTTCACAATCCCCAATTGGAAAACTGTTTCCGACCTTTTTGTCCATCTTCAAACGGCTTATTGATTAGTTTAATCGAAATGTTCAATCCAGTTGCTTTAAATTATATTTTTATTTTTTATATTTTTATATTAGTATATCTTTTTATTCTTTTCAGCGGAAGCTGGTGGAACATTGGGTCTTTTTCTTGGTGCCAGCTTCCTGACCATAGCAGAATTACTGGATTTTCTCTGCCACATCGTTGCTTTCCTGTTCAGGAAACGACAGCAAAATATCAAAGATTAAACAGTTCTTGAATTTTGAGAAGTGATTTCGAATTGTTAATAACGATTCCTCGGCGAAAGCATATTAATAACGATTAATATACTAATAGCTTAGCTAGGGTTTGAGAACATCATTTTTGTAAATACGCATAATTATTACATTATGCTGTTTTAGATTTATGCCAAAATATATCTTCATCCTTACATAAATTTTTGCCAGATCAGATGACATTATAATTGAAACCATGGCAAGTTCAAATTGCTGATTTACAGTTGTGCCAAAACATAGCTATTAGTGATTATCTATTTAAATTGTTTAGTACATGTACGTAAACTATTAATTGGTCGTATAAATATATATATCATCAATTATTAACGCTTATTGACTTTACAGCATATTTAAAATTTAAAATGTACTTATAAAGTAATTATTAAATTCATTATAGCTATAGACTATAGTAAAGAGTGAGATACTGAAAAACACTGCACAGTATATTTTCCATATCTTCACTATAGTAAAGATATCGATAACGTGATCATTCTCGCCAATTGCATTGTGTTTATACGATTAAACCTACTAAGCTTAGACTATTTATTTTTACGACAATTGTAATATTACTTTCCAAAGTATACATGTTTATCCTTACCCACCATCTCAACTTTTCCTGTTGGAGGACACCGCGGAGGCCAGGCCTGACTCTTTTGGCACATGAGTCGACACATGAGTTCGTAGCGAGAGTCGAACCAACGATCTCAGAGGTGAAAGCCGCTTGCTCTGACCAGGGGCGCCGGAAAGTCGATAATTGGGGGACAGATATTAGCTGATATTCATATATTCATGTTCTGCATCATTTATTTCCTTTGAAAGCGATTGTTTTTACAATCTGTGAACATGAATATATGAATATCACACCCCCCCCCCTATCATCGACTTTCCGGCGCCCCTGGCTCTGACGACTGTACCCACTGCATGTTGTCATTTCGCAGAAAAATTGGGGAAATTTATGAAAGTGACTGTATATAATAAAAAGAACATTACACGGTGACTTGTAGATATGAATTTTATTTTCTCGTGGTGAAAACAATATTTTACTCATTTGCTGCACTTATTCGTAAAATATTGTTTTTACCACTGGAAGATAAATTACATATCTTCTAGTGCATAGCCTGTAAACAATATAATAAGGAAAGCGCGATATAATATTAAAGGGAAATGGCAATATATTTTTTTATTTTCTCGTTTGAAAAAACATTTAAAACCATATATAAAACTCTTTTACCGTTTGTTCATATCTTGCTTACTTCTACAAATATTTTAATCGAAAGAAATGAAATGTCCGCCATCTTGGATTTTTGTAGATATGCATGTTACGTCACAACAGGGGCCATGCAATATTTTTATCCAGACAACCACTAATCATTTTGCACTCAAAATTATACTCCGTGTGCCCTTGGAAATATCAAGATCACTTGAAACCTTTAAAACATCTACCAATCAATATTTGGTCAACAACGAATACTTTTATATGGTTAATCCCTGTTGTGACGTCACCAAAACTACCGTTAATGAGATAAAAAAATTATCCAAGATGGCTGACATCTCATTACTTCAAGTGAAAATATTTCAAGAACTAAGCAAGATATGAAGAAGCGGTAAAATGAAGTTTTTAAATAGTTTCAAAAGTTCTTTCAAATGCGAAAATAAAAAAATATATTGCCATTTCCCTTTAATATTAAACAATTATTCGCCGAAAGCGGAAGTGATAAAGCGAGACGAAGTCGAGGTGAATATTCACCGTAATCACTGAGCCTGAGGGGAATAATTTTTTAGTATAAATTTTTAATGAATAAAACAAAATATCCAAATATCAGTTCAATTAAAATTCAGAAATCAAACTGTTTTCGGCCTGTTCAATTCACGGTTAATATTGTGACTAACAGTGTAAGTTGCAGTGTTTCTTATACGCACACGCTTTCAAAATGGCTTCTTGTGTGACTTTATTGCTTTATTACAAGTTGTTTTTCTCGATTTCTGCTTAGAATATAAACGCAATAACGGAATGACTTTTTCACCAGACTTAAAAAAATAGTTTCTGTTTAGCATTAATTTTTTCAGGAAATGGTAGAGAAATTTGGTAAAATGATATGTGAAACTATATAATAATAAAGGAGTCCTACCTTTCAACTTAAATACAACATTTTGTGCTTCTTTTGTTTTCTGGGGACGATTTTTTTCAATAATTTGTCGATTTTGAAACCGGCAGAAAAAAGCATTATTGAAAAGCATTATTTACAAACATTACTTTTTTGGAGTAGTCGTCATACTAAGACGACAATTTTGACTATTAATTTTTATTTTTGATATCTTTTAACTAACAAAATTTTTAAAATAATAAGATTGTCTAACACCATTCGTAGCTTTATTTCCACCGGTGATTTCTTTGAGACTGCCAAAAACCTCATGTATCCACCACACCTCGCACACCTGTCAAGTACTTCTTGCCCAATTCACAAACCTGACAACCCAGGTAGACTCATTGTTTCTGTTTGCGGTTGTTCCATCAAACTCATCTCCAGTTATCTTGATCGTATCCTGACACCCTTGGTTAAGGACTTACCATCCTATATCAAGGATACCAAACATGCTCTCCATATCTTTCAGTATATTCTTTTCTCGGGACTCACATATTCATCTTCAACATGGATGTCAAATCTTTACACACTGTTATTTCGCATCATGATGGTTTAAGTGCCTCCTTTCTAGATAAACGCCCTAACCAGGAACCGATTACTGCTGTTTTGGTCCGTTTCGCGGAGCTTGTGCTCACCCTCAACAATTTTTCTTTTGACAGTGAACATTATCAACAGATAAGCGGTGTACCCATGGGAACCAAAATGGGTCCCAACTTTGCTAATTTGTTTGTTGGTTTTGTGAAAAAACACATCTTCGAACAATACAATGATCCCATCCCTGATTACCTTGGTAGGTACATAGATGACTGTCTTGGCACAGCATCATGTTCTCGTGCCGAATGTAAACGGTATGTTAACTTTGTTAACAATTTCCATCCAGAACCCCAGTTCACATGGGAAATCAGTGAGACCAGTGTATCATTTATTCGATATTCTTGTATCAATCAATGGTAATAAACTAATTACTTTGTGTTCTGCAAATCTACTGACTCCCATAGCTATCTTCCACCACAGCCACACCAAAAGTTCGATTCCCTTCTCACTGTTCCTTCGCCTTCTCAGCATTTGCAGGAAGATGAGAACTTCCAAGCCCAATGTCTGAAAATCAGACACTTTTTGTCCAACGTGGCTATCCCACCTCTCTATTACACACTGCCTTTTTACCAATCCAAATTCCCCAATCTGAGATCCGTACAGACAAAACAACAAAATCCCCCTCCTTTCAATTTCAAAGATAGAGATAAAATATTTTGGGAAACGACCCCAAAACGTCTTCCATTTTGTCCAATAACACCTTAGTCTCTTTTCGACACAGAAAAAACATCCGTGAAGCTCTGACTAGTTCATAAAAGCATCTAGATCTATTTGAACAATCAACACTAACCACCATCATAAACGCACTAGTTATGAGTAAATTCAACCACTGCTCATCAATATGGTCCAATACATCTGAAGAAAACATCAAGAAAATCCAGCTAATTAAGAATTATGCAGCGGGTTTATTTCCGGAAATATCAGTAAATATGACCATGTATCTCCATTATTAAAGAAACTCGGTTGGTTACCAATGAAGGAGCATCTACAATACAGAGAAGGAAATATACCATTTACATTTTAATCTTAGTAACCAGTTATTAGTTGACAATTTTAATATAAAATAGACAATTTGCAAATATTCTTAATTGTACATAATAACTGTAAACTGAAAAACCCATTTTGGGAATGTCAGTAACTTTAAAATTAAATTAAATTCATACCTCACTATATATTACATGATTCGTCGTCACAGAATGGCACATTTCCTTGCAGGGTTGCCAAATACAAAACTTGTGATTTTATATATTGTGCCACCACCACTTTGGTACGAAAATCTCAATACCATGTCAAGCACCATTTCACGTTCAGCTCCTCCCATCTCGTGTACCGCATTTTATATCATCTTATATTACTTATTATAATATTATAAGACTTCTGAGGACAAGGTTTGGTGAGCATCGACAAACACTCGACATTCGAAATGAATCTAAGCGAGATTGTCTACAGTGCGAGTTGCAAGTTGCGAGTTGTGCATGAGTAAATTGTCATTATATCGGGTGTAATTTTAACCCACCTAGGTCAGGCCAAGTCTAGGTCAAGGTCTGTTTACACTAGCTGTCAAAATGTAGGCCAAGGCTTGTAGTGTAAACACGACTTATGATTACGATTAGTATTGAGATACATTTCACTACACTTTACATGGCGGATCTTGGAACACGAGCGGAGCCGCTGCAGGCGAAGTAGCGCATGCAGGCGGGAAAGGATGAAGGCGAGGAAAGGTGTAACATCGAAACAAAAGGTGATTTTTAAGCTAAATAACATACGCCTTTTTGAAAATAAAATCATAATTTGATGCATGATTGATTGATTGATTGACCGGCATTGACTAGTGCTTGCATCTTTGTGGATGATCAAAAGTAATAAGATTTTTTAACATTACACAAAGCGAAACAAACGTATATTTTACTCACCCCTTGGCCAAACATTCTGTATTTCATATCTAGAAAAACTTAAATATCTCTTGAACTCTTCGGAATTCGCCACAAGTAAACAGAAGTAAAATACCCCTTGTATTCAAGCGCTTTGTATAGAAAATTTCGTTTGAATACGGCCAGTAGAAATATTTATTTTGAATTTTTCAAAACATCGGGGTTTTTACTCGCACGCACCTGTCACACGCTGAAATATATATATATATGTATATATACATATATATATATATATATATATATATATATATATATATATATATATATATATATATATATATATATATATATATATATATATATATATATATATTTATATATATATATATATATATAAATATATATATATAATTTGTCATATAAAATTTGTTGCATATACACACGTGCACTTGGCAAATAAAACTTGTCACATAAAAATTTGTCATAGAAAATTTGCTCGTCTGTAACCGGCTTAACAAAGTAAAGAAACAAGTAAAGACCGATTTTCACTTCAACCGTATCGTAACGTGTCGTAGCATATTCTTTTGTGCCGAAGTCATTAGTTCCACTCCAGTGTTGAGGAAACAAAGAAATACGCTACGATTCGGTACGATGCGGTTGAAGTGGAAAATGGCCTTTATTGTGTTGAAACGAATTTAATTACAGGGAACTTATAATAACTTTAAAGGTCTAAAAGTCTGTTCGTTCACTGCAACCAGGTATATCAATCATGTTTCGCTCCCTACTCTGGTTTAAATAAATGATTACAAAGCCCAGTCGAATTGTAATCAAGACCCAACGTTTCGATCAGGGGTGGTGTCAAAACGTTGGGTCTTGACTGCAATTCGACTGGTCTTTGTGATCATTTATTTAAACCAGAGTAGCGAGCGAAACATGACTGTAAAGGTCATTAACATTTATTAAATAAAAAAATATTTTCAAAGCTTCATTCAAAGCGAGTCTAGTTAGCCATCATTCGAAACGTCCAGTTCCGAAGAATTTCGAAGTGATTACGAATTTATTTCTAAGTTTTCTGACGGTTTCCGCGGCCAACTCGCAGCTCGCAAAATAGTCCACTTCATGTTAAGCAGCCTGTTGCCAGACATTTTAATACTGATAATCACAGTACTGTGTTCAGTAGATATGGAAATTCGAGTCCTCTGTCCCATTTCTAGTAGCAGCGATGCGTCTAATTTCCATACTTCGCACTGTCCACCTCTATGGCATTAATGAACGTTTTTCGTATGTTTAACTCTATCTGTCTTTGTAATTGCCTGTCTAAAACAGACATTGACAGAACTTTTTTAAACTTCTTACTTTATTCCATACTTGTTTCATATCATTTATTTTGTTTTAATCGCTGTGTTTTCTGTATAATTGTATATTCTGCAATGTAAGTTAATTTTTTTGTTCATACTTTGTTTTGACTAAACTATCTGGTTGGTTTATTTTTTGTCACGTGGTCGCTTTTATATTCAAAGTATAAAAGCTCATGTAATTTTCCCGACCTCTGCTAGTAACTCCGGATGATGGGCCTTCGCTCAAAATGTCGAAATTCTCCTTATATACTATCAAGTAGTTTCATCCATAGCGACGAAAGCTTGTTCATTTTTTGGCACTAACTACACTGGCAAAGGCAATAAGATTATCTGTAGTTTTAAACTCTTTTGGTCCACAAACTTCGTACTTGATCAAACCACACAATGAACACACGATTGATCTTAACTTGATTTAATTTCTTGCGCCTCACTCGGTTACAGCTCAACAGCTGGCCTTTGTAGCTCAGTTGGTTAGAGCGCTGCACCGGAATCGCAGGGCCGTAGGTTCAATTCCTAAAAGAGGACCTTGCGCTGCATTTTTCTCAGTCGTTCCTGGTCAGGTCTTAAAATGTATATGTACTCACTTGGATTACAAACCCTAACATTCTAAGATTGATCTTAACGACCTAAATGACCTTGATTCAAACTTTTAATAAAATGTTCCATCTGCAGGTGGTTTTCATTTAAAAATTAAATTGTAAGGCGCAGCGAGTTGAATTGCAAAAGTTCATGTTATTATGATAATAATATTTTACACGAGTGAATTTTCAAAGACCTAAAATTTAGTAGCATTCGTTCTTCGGACTAGTGTCATCTAATAGTCTTTGAAAAACTAACTCGTCATCATGTTTTCTCCAAATTGCACTCCATATATGCGGAATTATATACCTATAGAAATAAAAACATTTCATGCAACATGTTGAGTATCTAGCAGTCGATCAATTTGATTATTGAAAAAATCTATTGTAGTAGGAATGATTTGCATTATTTAATTATAAATTTTCAATGAAATTTAATTCACAATAAGTTCATATAATTAGACAAATCTAATAAAATATTCGCATCAGATATTGGCTAAAATTGGCTGCGGATCTAATTACACTCTTTGAAAAGTTAACTTTTATGAGAGAAAATTTAACTTTCGAGTCTTGATATTCACATGATGTTTCAGTGATTATGGACGAGAATAGAGTTCATCCCATGCCGGAGCATGTTAATGAACATGGTGGAAAGAACGACGAAAGAACTGTACGATCAATTATTTCTGATTACGGAGAACGAACGACAATACATGGGTTGCTTTACTTAATACGCGGTGAAAATTTTATAAGGCAACTCATTTGGCTTTGTTTCATTTCGTGTTCTTTTGCTTACTTCACCTTAAACGGTATTAGACTTTTTAACAATTTCTTTAAGTACCCAACCTTGACAAAATACGAAATTGTGACACAACAGAAGATGTTGTTTCCAGCTATAACGGTATGTAACTACAACCCAATACGCAAATCCAAGCAAGAATCAATTTTTAACTACCTGTATAACAACTCAAAATTGAACGTGAGTTTAAACGACTTTAGACGAAGTGTAGAAAATTCAAGCGATAATTACGCTACTCTTAATTATACCAATAATGTTGAGAAAATATATCAAAGCTTTGGCCATAGCATGGATGAAGATGGAATGTTTGTTAGCTGTAAGTGGAAGGGGAAGTCTTGCAGTGGAAAAGATTTTAGATCAAGTGCACAAAGTATGGGGCTCTGCCACACATTCAACTCAGGTATGACAAACACAATATGATACATTTTGTGCATTGCATGTTTTTCAACATTACAAAAAAGGGTTGGTCACGTCATTACGTCGTTAATGTAAAGATGCTATGTGAAGAGTGCTCACAAGAAATAAGAATTAAGGCTTACCTTATGATCTCCTGTCTTTCATGTTTTGTACAGGTTATGAAAACTACTCATTGCAATATATTACTAATACTGGAGAGACCAATGGTTTGTTCTTAACACTGAATGTCCAGACTGTGGAATATCAGGACGACACTGAAAGTGTTGGTGTGAAGGTCCTAATTCATGATCAGAAGGAACCGATATTTATTAGAGAAAGTGGCTTCGCAGTTATGCCTGGAAGGAGAGCTTTAGTTTCAGTCACGAAGAAGCAGGTTTGTTTAATTTCTGTTTTGCTACAATATTAATTTTTTAAAAATGTCATACGCAAAATGTACACAAAAACTGCATGACATTCAAATACGTTTTTTCGTCGGGCAAGTATGAATGCAATACAGATGAATTCTCTGAAACTATTTTCTTAGTCAATGCGCAAATTGATGTATAGATTAAAGTAGAAGAAATATTTTGACCCTTCCCTGCATTACTTTGAATTCCATCGTCCGTAACGGGATTTCTGTACTCTTGCCAAGATTTTGTTTTGTCAAGGGATTAATGCCACTACATGTTAGTTGACACTGAAAAAATTGTAAGACATTATAGGGAAGATAATATGCTGAGACATATGAATTTATATAAAATTTATTTTTCATTACGGTTGCTTGAAACGGTTGCTTCTCCCGCGCAGAAGCTCGGAGCGTCTGGAGCGAATATGCTTGAAACACGGCCATGAAAGTTTAACAACTTTCAACTTCCTTAACGTGCAGGCCAGAGCAATTACACCTGTCAATTATTGTATATAGGTCGCAAACCAACCGTAATGGAAAACGGTATTAACCCTATCGAATCAAGGGGGGGGGGACGGCGGCAAGTGCCCGCGCTGATTTCAATAGTTAATATCTCCTAAAGCAGAACAGGTATTGTTCTGAAATATTATGATTTTTCCGCAGTATAACAGTTATAATAACAGTCAGAACTTTTTTAATAAAAAGAAACTATTTTTGATATAGCTACTTTCTTTTAATTGTAACAAAACAGCTACAGTAAGTATTACAACAATGTTGGAAATTATAGAAAATCCGGTTTTTGCACTTCATGACGTCATAATGACGTCACAATTTGTTGCCATAGTAACATAAGAGTAACGCATATTTGAATAATGCATACTTCCCACGTATAAAAGTTTGGTCGGATTATACCAATTAATGGTTCAAGAGATAACGTCGGTCAAGTAAAAATTAACGATTAACGTCGGTCAAGTAAAAATGGGCCATTCTGAATACCAGCCAGGGACATCGTCGGGTTAGACATTCTCTCAAACAAACAGCTACTAATTATTGAATGTTGTTTTCATCTATTAATAGGTGATCACTTCACCTCCACCCTATGGTAAACCATGCATAGAAAATAGCAGAAATGTAAAGTATTTAAAGACACTTTGCATGAGTGACTGTAAGGAAAATTATATAATCGACAATTGTAAATGTCAGGTGCCTCCACCAAGAAGTAAGTGACCCAAATACAGCAATAGAATACCTAGAAATAACAATTATAATAATGGATGAACAGGATATTTAATTGTGGCAACACAAAACAGAACATCGTTACAATTTTACGTGCATCACGTTGGCTCAGTTTATGTGTTAAGTTAAATTAAATTAAATTAAATTACTCGGATAATTATGTTGACAGTTAAGGAAGATACATGTCTAACAAGCTCTTACAAAATACAAATCGCACCTCCAATCGAAACTACAAACAAGTTGCAAGGTCACTGTACTGTAGCTCCTCCTTCTGCGTGTATTGCCTCGACTTCATCAATTAAATACGTTCGAGTAGTGTTTAGTTTTGTAGTCGATGGTATACGCACGTATAACGGATGCAGTATAATTCTGCGAAATGATAATAAAGTGAAGCAAATGTAATTCAGTTATTTTGGAAATCAGCATTGTTTTTCATCATCCTCATTTGTGTCCTCCCCCTCAATAAATGTCTTCCAATTGCCTAACTAAATTAGACAACCTTATACAGTTGTACGTTACACATGTAATAATATACATAAAGATATTACTCGACTGTGATTGGTTGATTTCAGTACAGTTAATCCCAAACAGCAGTGCAATTTTCTGTAATCACATGCAGTGCAATTTTCTGTAATCACAGTGCAATTTTTTGTAATCACAGTCAAGTTTCTGTATTTACAGTGCAAAAATCTATAACAAACTGATCTGATTGGTGGAAAAACATTGTGATGATTAATTCAACCAATAAGTTTAAAGCAATTTAGTTTAAAGAAGTAATATAACGGTCACAGATTGCTTCAAAACAAAACAGACATGGCGCCGCGCTACATAAAGTAAAAGTTTCCATCGCGTGGAAAATATGGCTTTTATCTTCATTTTTAAATGGAAAAGCATTTACCTTAAACAAGACTAACAAAAATGACATAGTTGAGTTGAATTTTCAAGCTGTTAGCGTTGTATAATGTGACATAACAAAGCCAGGAAAACTTTGCCAGTGGAATGTTCGCTATAACGCGTAAGTTAAAACTACAATTGTCTCGAACATTTTTAATGTAAATTATTCGTGAAATTTGGATAAACATGCACTCGTGCGCTTTACAAAGATCTCAAATAGCACTCGTCCTTCGGACTCATGCTATTTTGAGGTCTTTGGAAAACTCACTCGTGCATGTTATATCCAAATTGCACTCGAAACCATGCTATTACCTATACTAATCTGCTTGTTAATACAATGTCCAGATTGACATAAGGAAATTCCTGACTATAGACAACACGGTTGGTAGCTGAAACCATTTACATTAGGATTTCTTTATGCCAATAAGCACATTTTCATTTATTAGAACTTATCAAATCAGATTTCTAATATAATTGTGTTGTTGTTTCCGCCCTTCAATGGAAGAGATAGAACTCTTTGAATGGGGACGGGAGGTGGGTGTAAGAAAATATTTCCGAGTTATCAAGGGAAATTTTGCCAAGTCACTACACCATTAATTAACATTTCTGTTCCAAAAATTGTTGGCGAGCGGGGGGAGGGATAATTGAAGTTATTAAAATCTCTCATTATAGCTTCCATCTTTAGCAGATAATTTTCACTTTTATAATTCTTGATAATACAACAAGCTTAGTGACTAGTCATAAAGTAAAAGGGGGGCGGGCTGGGATAAATAAGGGGGTCACTATTTTTTAGCACAGTTGAAGGGGTGGGTCATCGAAAGGTAAGTGCAATCATATGGGTGGGCCATGTAAAATATGCAGAAATTTTTTCAAGGGCACTTTTTTATTAAAATTCATATTATAAAAATAGAAATAAAGCGTATCAGGATCCATGTGTAAAATTTATACCGAGATCGTTAACCTCAAACTTAAAAGCTGAATTTACTGTCTTGGCTAATACGTTAGTAGAGGCTAACTATTTTTCTGATAATCTTTATTGCTAAATGTCACGAGCTTTGTGTAGGATGTTTATTATGTAACAAAATTAGTGTAATTTCTACAAGAGCGTAGTTAAATCACAATCATCGTTAGCGGTTTGGCGTTAGCTGTCAAACTAAAGGTCAAATTGTAATTGTCAAACTAAAGGTCTCCAATTATGAGAAAGATACCGCATAAATCAGTATGCATGGGAAGTTCCATGCAAAGAAAGACCTTTCTGTATTTAATTCAGGGCCTCTTTTAACATATAGACTGGGGAAGACATGTCCCCCCCCCAGCCCTCTTACTGGTCCCTCCAATCGCCAATTTTGTCCCCCCTCCTACCAGTGAGGTCCCTAAGAACTACTTGCAGTAGGTTGTCAACCAGCAATTATGTATCAACGTGAGAAAACAATGCTAAGTTGTTAACATTTCTGAATCTGACCATCGCCAGAAACCTAAGCCATGACTGAAATAATTCGCTCTTGGAACAAGGCATGAAGTGGCATTTTAGGACGAAATTCTAGTTTAGTTTTTCGAAGCAAAGATACTCCAAAGAGACCACCCTATCTTGCCCTCCAGTGACACTGAGAAGATGAATGCGTCGAATTCAAGTATACCCCACTACATGTAATACAGCACTGTAGAATTTGAAGTGTGGTGAATGATAATACTATACCACACACATTTTAATTACCACATCATCACACCATGTTGCCTTATTGGGACTGGATTACATTTGGGAGACTGTGAAATTCCAGTAATTGTGTCACTGTTTATAAGGTTAATTTCTTGTTGGAAAACTTGTCCAAATGCAGGAAATAGCTTATCTGAGCTTCAAAAAATCCAAAATTTTCTGGGGGTATGCCCCCAGACCCCCCTAAAAGCTCCACCTTGGGTGGTCGACTCGGTTGTCTCAGATTCCTAGTTACGGCCTGATCTGCTGCCCTAGGACATATACTTATTAATTAAACCATGCATATATATGCTGGTAGCTGCACAACCTCGTACCCAGGGCTAGTCGCGAATTGAAGGCGGCGACGTAGCCCTGGTAAACGCTGGTCACGTGACTCCAACATTACGTAATTGTTACTTTTCTCAACCGGGGGGTGAATAGGTGAAACTCGAAGACAAACAGTTTTTATCTCCGAAATTCTTCAATCTTCCCTGTGAATTTTGCATTTCAAGCTTTTCTCAAAGTACGGCGATCGATCAAATGGATCAATATTTCTGTAGAAAAAACTCAGTGAGATTTGTTCGTATGAGACGTTTAAAAGACTTGGATATGTCGCTAAAGACGCTCGATCATTGCACAGGTTTATGGTTTAGTACTTTGTTCAGTTTGTTGCGACTTGCGAAGCAAATGAACGCAAATTCAACTCTTGTATAATGACTAAAAGTTGGTTTGTAGAGGGACAACTTATACAAAAGATATGAATACATTAGCTTCAAACTAGGGGCAAGTTCATGGACATCCCTAATATATGGACATTGATATTTCACCAATATGTAAATATGACTATTAAATATATAAAAGGATTGCTGTTGTATTACTTGTATATGTATATGTATATGTACAAGTGTTGTGCTGTGGTATTTACGTTTTTAACCCTTTAAGTGGCATACCCCCCCCCCCCCAATGGACTAGAATTTCTGAGGGGGTTGAAAAAGCAGTTTCTGAGGGGTTGTGTGCATCGGCGCCTCCTTTGATCTTTGCATTTTTTTCTGAGGGATAAGGCAAAAATTTCTTAATTTCTGGGGTGTGTGTGTTGGTGTCGGCACTTTGATCTTTTTTCTTAGGGGTGTGTGTACATCGTCCATAGGGGTGTGTACATTGAATGGAATGGCCCAATGCACCCAGATGCACCCTACTTTGTTAGTTTACTCTGTCTAACACCAGACAATTTTACTCATCAGGTGGAGAGTGCATGGCGCCACTCAATGGGTTAACATAGTCGATAAACATGCCAAATGATCCTTGACCGTGGTAGTACATTTTTGCACTTGCTGGATGATATTGCAACCAAGCATTGTTTCAGAGGAAGAGCCCTGAGATCATGCTGTGTAGCAATTGGAATCTTGCATAGAGCCTGCTCTCACATAAAGCAGGCAAGACCTTCACTCAGAAGCCAGTCCTGATTAATATTAATTCCCCACATAAACACTTGGAAACCAGACTGTCCCATCTGCCATATGCAGGACAAAAAACATGCAGCCTGGACTTTAACTGTTAAACAACTAAATCAGCATGATAAACAGTGTGATGATTTTTGCTTAGCCCAAACCAAAGCCAGTTTTCTAGAATTAATTTGCAGAATCCTAAGAATTGGACAAGTTGGCAACTTGAAGAGCTAGCTGTGCTAACCAAGTTGCATGGGCAACCCTGAATTGATGTGACTAGAGCAAATCTTCAAAAAATAATAGAGAGATCAGATTTTACTTTCACTGCTGCTATTGCTATCATTAAAGTTCTAACCAGATAAGTTTCATTTATCCAATCAAACAATCAGATGCAACTGCCAGATCAAGTAGTGGTAGTGGAAGTACCTACATGGATTTCAGAGAGACCAGTCATTATTTGCTGATATATTATTATAACTTGTTTAATCAAAAGCTACTATATATTCATTTATGATATTAAAAATTGATATAATTTTATCTAAGTGAGAATAATTTTAAAAAAAATATTCATAACATAAAATGATTTATGCATGCTGGTGATTGAATAAACCATGAAGTGTGCAATCTGAATCTCTACAAGTTCCTTGACATTATTTTTCCAGTACAGTGTAAAACTATATATATAAATGTGACACAGGTTGCAGGTATTAGGTTGCATGTCCACCAGTGTGCTGAAATACCATCCAGTGACCCGGTCTGGTTCATTGTTACTTGCATCTTGCTTAATTCAACTGTTTTCGCCCCCATTTCTTGTACCCATAAAGTTCTTTTCAATAATCTAGAAAACTTCAAAATCATTCAGTAAATTTAATTTTAAAATTGGGTGAAAGGTAAGGGGTCAATAATAGATGACAAATCATTTCTTATTGTTCATACATATGGCCCCCATCTCTGTCAGGTATTAGAGTAGAAATTTATTGAAGCCTGAAGTCAGAAAATAAATATGGCAACAAGGTTACACGCCATACTGCAGAGTTAGGCAATTTTTTTAAAGATCTCAAGGGCACAAAAGGTATAAATATAGATTGTAGGGGCAAGGGAACAAAATAATGAAATTTTGAGATTCAGGGGCAGGTTTTACAATGGGGTGCTAAAACTTTTCCCTAAAAAATCCCTGACCAGCTGGAGTGCTGAAACTGATGTTTGACTATTGAAATATCCTAGCAGGTTAGGTTCATCAGATTTTAGCTTTGTCAACCTGGCCACTCTGTTATTACAGTAATGCCTCAATTAAATAATTTCAGGTCATTACTGTATAAATGTAAATACAAAGTATTTGAAGTTTATACTGCTGTAAAATGTAGTTTAAT